CTGACAGTTCTGGCGGCCAGTCTGAAATTCTTTCAGCTAGAAACATCTGCCGATAAAACCGATGCCAGTAGCGATAAAAACTGCGGGAAACTCTGCAAAAAACGCATCTTCGCACGGGCAGCTCGTGCGTCGGCCAATTTTTTAAACTGTGACAACATATCAGATTTTTGCTTGTATACAATACAGGAACCTGTGGTGATAATTGACTTGCGAGCATGCGCGTGCAGTGAAATCAAAGCGATACCAGTGGAACGTTGTCCGTATCCAAATTCCATGCAGATCGATGTTTGGCTGCCTGGCAAGGATGCTCAAAAGCCGGACAGGATTAGGTTTTTTTTCCCTAAATTTATCGCCAATTTTTGCAAAAATATTAAAAACTTGATTTTTTTAAATCCTTTCTAATCTATTCCAAGTGTATTGATTTCCCAGAGCGAATTAAATGAAACTTTTTTTATCCAAATTTATGGATCAAAACTGTTTATTTTAGCTTATATTGTCTCGCATTTTTATTTCTGTATCTGTTCCCCTTCTTCGCCTCCTGTCCAGGCGACCTTGTCCCTGGTCTTTGTCCGATATTTGTTGATTATGGAAAAAGCATTCGACAGCGCAGAGCACTCACGAGCTGCTTCGGAAAAGGGGATTGAAGAAAAGTATGTGGGAATTGCCATGAGGACGAATTTTGCAATTGTCCGACTGGTAGAAACTTTTCCCTGCTTCATTCCGTATACCAATTCCAGTTCGCTGCGAGCGAAATCTAGGCGGTATGTGCCAGAAAAGAGTTGGGCTGGTCATATCGTAGGGATGAAAGACAACAAATGGACAAAGCGGATTACTTTTTAGTACTCACGCAATGTTAAAAGGATATAGGAGTGGATGACAGTGCCACAAACTAAGGGAGAATGGAGATGGGCTGTCAGCTGTAACATTAGCGAGGAAGAATGCGATGATTGAACAACAGCTGATTAAAAAAAATCTGGAAAAAAGAGCTCGTCTACCGATCAAGAAAGGCAAAGACAGACGAATCTTACATCCACGAAACTTTTTACGATCTCTCTCGAGGTTGTGTTCGAAATGACTGACCTGGATAACAGTGATGAGCAGCTATCCTTCCTTGCTAAAAAGCCATCAAAAGTGCATTTTCAACGTAAGTGCACATATCAAACTGTAACGCAATGATCATTCCTGCTGGTAATGGTCCTATTGTTGCATGAATCCGCGCCAAAACGTACAATCATACCGGCAAACCTAATGCGTGTCGTTAATTAATGCATTTGTAGAAGCGCAAAAAAAGGTTAAAAAATGCCTGAACAAATTAGCGAGAGTTGCTTGCAGAATTCTAATGGCAGCCGATCGAAAAGAAGAGATGAATTCGTGGATCAGTACGATGAATATTTCGCTTCGAAATCTTACCCTCTGGTCTTGCCGGCACTAAAACTTCGACTTCGAACAGTTTTCACTTGATTGTATTTTAAAAATTCCTCTGTGCTTGATATCATATTGTTTAAGAGAAACTAAAAATGCAGGTGTATATTAGACATTTATTACTGCACTGATCCAATCCCAGTGTAATCATGGAACCTTTTTTGGGAAATGGGATGGTAAAAACACAGTAGTGCAAAGTGGATATCATGCAGATATCTTCGTATTTCCATCCATACACTACCTAAAAAGTATCAAATATTTACTGAGTAAACTGCTGGTAGTGCACGTAAAATATATACGTTGTGGACAAAATATGGGCAGAATGCGGAAAATATTTAAATCAAATACAACTACTGACAAGAATTCGCGGCAATTTATAGGTGGGATGCGAAAAATATGCAGATATGTACATGTAAATCAGATATGACTGCTGGGAAGACTGTACTAAGCAAGCCTAATTTCTTCGGAATTTATGTTTTTTTTTTTTTTTTGTTTACATTTTCCATCTGTTTCATTATTGTTTTGTTTTTTTTTGGTTCCCAGGTTTCATGGCCTGGCTACTGACTTATTGCAGTTACTGCGTAGTTAACCATCACATTCCGATTAACAAACTAACTTGCCAAGTTGCTCTAACTTCAAACTCTCGACTTATTGTGCTTTCTGAATTCAATAGCTTTTTTAGCTGTGTAAGAAATTACACTCGCGATCATTGCGTTCAAATTCTTTTTGCCACCTGACAGATTTTGGAGAGGATATGCTGTTAGGCGGGCTACTTTCCAATCGTCCGATAAATTGCTAGAAGTGGAAAGAGCATCTGATGCAAACCTAAGATACTACACCCCGGAATTCCGCGGAAGCGGAGGAAGGGGGGCAGTTGGGGGAGCACGCGAACTTACCCATCCTACGAGCGGGGAAGTTTAATCATTTCATACTTTTTTTTTACTTAACTTCATATTTACGACTTGGTTTTCATCGAACTGCATTCCGGAAGTCTAAGTGGCTTTCCTGGATTTCTGAAAAGCCCACACAGAGCAGGAAAAGTAGTAAAATTTAACTGATAAATAATTGAGGAAAGCTTAACATTGAGCATTCAGCTGCTCTTTTAATCCATTTAATCAGTTTACAGTGAATTCAAGCCTCTGAATTGATAATTTTACCTGGCTACTTGCAGCTTTCCAAGATGTTCTATGGATGCTTGAGTTGTGGTACTTAGTTTTTAAAGCATTAACTGAGAGTGTGGAAGTAACAACTGGATGCCCAAGTGTGCGTCTTTCTTTCCCTCGCCGCCCGCTTTGGCCCTCTGTTCTCCCTTTTACCTTCACTTCTTTATCCCCGCACTTGATTCACTTCACCTCCATGGGCTATTTCGCTGGAGGCGACTGAATTTTACAAGTAAGAAAAAATTCTGCTGCATTTGTCCACAAAAGAAGCATATCACAAGAACGAAGTTTGCTTTAAATGCCAGTAAAAGGGGATAGTTGTTGCTGGTTTCCTGGATATTATCAAGGCCAGTTGTATCTATCACTATCACTGTGTATTTTTTCTATCGTTATAACCACATTCTGTATCCGTTCATCGTTATCAGTTTGCTTGTATGATTAAAATTGTATACGCACTTGACGTATTTCACAGAGTTAATTCCGTCAGCTTACAAGAATTGCGTATAGTCGATGAAACTAGAGCACTTCACACGCACGTTCCAAATGTAAAGCATAGCTATGCCAGGTTCTTCGATCCTAACTGCATATCTTTAACTGCTGCCCACATCCTGTCAAATGTATGTTCGCTGTTTGTTATATTTTTATATGTCTTGGCATACATGCAGATGCAAAAACACATGTTGTGATGGTCCATAGTGCGCGTATGTGAGTGCAGTGTGTGTGCGTCCATTCGGCTATTTCAACTCAACAGCCAAGCAAGCTACAGCGCCAAAATTTTGCTGCTGGGTTTCCCGGCCAAGCACCACCTTAGAACCGCCGTGTCAACCTTCGTGCACGTTTGGCCCCCTTACGATTCGTAAAAGTTTTGTCGGGAGGATCGCTAGCTCGAGAACCAGATAAGCTAGGAGGCTGAAATTTTAAGGAGGTATTCCCAGCTTGACTACAACTTGAAGATTTCAAATTCAGTCTTCAGGTGTACGTGGTTCTCAAGTTTGGCTTTGTGAAAATTTGGTAGGAAAATCGCTAACTCCGGAACTAGGAAAATTGGGGAAGTTGAAATTTCAGCGAAATGTTCCCTGCCCAAGTAACACGTAGTAGCACAATTAATTTCCTGAACTTCGAGGACAATATGTCACAAATTCCAGCTACTGGGTTTTTTTTTTTTTTTGCAAGTACATATATTTTTTTGAGTCATCGTCATTCTCCCTCATTCCTTTCCCCGCAATGAAGAATATTTTAATAAATTTTCGTATAAAAACCATGCTTGCCTACAATAGCAAGGTACTGTGTACCTGTTCCGGGATATGTGATGCAGGGGAATATCCAGGATGACATGTGCTTCGACTCGCCGCAGTATCATCCCAAAATAACTTTATTTCAAAACAGTTGATAACTCATTAATAGTTGCTATGGCAAAAGTGCTTCATGATGGTCCTGACAGTCCCCTCTCTGTGTTCCTATTTCGTTTTCTCCGGAAAAGTGCTATCGCAATCTCCTTTTTCTCCAGTATTTTTTTGTTCTTACGTACAAATGCCATGTATGCGCCTGTCGCTCTGAAAATCAAAGATTTCAGTCGGTCTGTTTGACAAACAGTTCTCTACGACTAATTCATTCATTTCGATGGTAAGTTAGTACTCATGCATGTCAGGAAGTAAAACTCACTCCCGGCTTCCTTCTAAGCAACCCTGCCGTATAAATCATGCTGCGGTGAAATAATCACAAAAATATTAGGATGCGCAATGCTACAAAAAGGAAGGAAATACAAACAATGCGGACAAGTAAGTGAACGGAAGTGGGAAACATGGTAAGGGCTTTTACCTAAAAGAACATTGAAGTGATGGGCACAGGAATTACAGGACACACATTTAATAGACATATGCAGCAGCGGTCTGCATTTTTTCCCATATCTAAAAACACAGGTTTCGATGCAGATTTTTGTGCATTTTTTGGTGGCAGTACTCCGTAACAATTAGCAAAAACCCTATGTGCATGTATGTGTATGATTAAGCATTAAAACAACGCCATTTATATTGCTAGCCATCTGACTACTTCATGAACCAGACAAAAAAGCATGGTTGTGTGTCGGCAGTTTCACTGCGCTTCACTAAATATTCGTTTGGTGTTTGACAAAGTACAGGAACAGCAAAGAACTAGTAAATAACGCCGGAGGATAAGATTATGCTGGTGTTGTTTACGATCATCTGTGCAGACCGCTTCAAATCCAGCTTATAACACGTAAACTCTAGTTAGGCTGTTGAAAAAGATGCGGCTAAAAAGCGAAAACACTTCATCTTTGGAAAAGCATAAAAATTCATTTTCTGGAAAAACGCAGCAGAGCCACGGGAAAACTGATCCGATTGAGGGGGAACGATTTCACCGTGTAGCTCAAATGAACAGAAAAGAGAGGGATTTGACTATGTGCATTCTTTTCTCGGGGTTCACGCACGCCAGTTATTGTAAGAACGATACAAAGCACGAAATATATGTTTCTTATACATTAAAAGTTTCTGTTCACATTTTCTCGACGGCAGGAGAAAGTTGCTGGCTTTGTTGCCAGACGGTGACGGTGCGCATCAGCGAATGGGTGCCCCCAGGAATATAAACGACCACCCAGACGGCTTTCATAGAAGTTGCACATAAACGCCGTGTAGCGGTGGGTGCTAAAGAAGACTTGCATCTCAGGATCGAAGGACCTGACATTGCTGCACTCAGCATGTGGGAGTACACAAATATCATTGAAATGAGGCGTCTACGTTGAAGTTCGAGCGGTTTTAGTAATGTCGACAGTTGCGTTGCCCAGCCTCCAGAAGCAATTATTCAGAAGCGGCATTTGATCACTTTTACAACGTAGAATTTGAATTTTTATGCTTTTTCTTTCTGTATTTTTTCTTATTTTCTGGTACCGAATTCTGGTATCCAGTTATTCATTTTGACGCAAACGTGGCATTTGTTTTCTCACCAGTATGAGTTCGCATGTGCTCTTCTAAACGAATTTTTTGAATGAAGCTCGAATTGCAGTGGTCGCATTTGAACGGCTTCTCATCAGCATGAGTTCGGATGTGTCTTTGCAAGTCTTTTCTGGCCGAAGCTCGAACTGCAATGACCGCATTTGAACGGCTTCTTACCAGTATGAATTCGCGTGTGTCTTTGCAGGTTTGTTTTCCGCCCGAAGCTTGAATTGCAGTGGCCGCATTTGAAAGTCTCACCAGTACAAGTTAGCAAGTGTCTTTGCAAGTGTGTTTTCTGACCAAAGTTCGAATTGCAGTGACCGCATTTGAACGGTTACTCACCAGTATGAGTTAGCAAGTGTCTTTGCAAGTGTGTTTTTTGACCGAAGCTTGAATTGCAGTTGCCGCATTTGAACGTCTTCTCACCAGTATGTGTTAGCATGTGTCTTTGCAGCTGCAGTTTCCATCCGAAATTCCAACTGCAGTGACTGCATTTGAATAGCTTTTCACCTGTGTTGATTTCTATGAATTCTACAATGCACTCGCAAACTTCCTAATGATTTGAACCTCTTATTGCATTGCATGCAGCTGTATGGCTTGTTGCCAGTGTGCTTCCTTACGTGAATCTTCAGCAAAGAAGTGGCAGAAATGATTTTACCGCAATAACTGCACATAAGTGAGCGTCTACCACTGCCAGTTCTGTTTCGGCTGTGACCAACGTACTCAGTGCTTTCGCTTACTGTAGCCAATGTCGCCCAATATCCATTTGGAAGCGGCCGTTTACTGTCAGTGCGGTTGGTTGTATCGTCCTGTGCCTGATTCTTTAGCTCGATTGGCCTCGCGAGCTGCAAAATCACTGAGAAGCAATCGCCCTTTTTATTAACGCCAAATGGTATCCCAAAGC